CCTTCTCCCTCTGCCCCTCCTGCTTGTATTCTCTCTTTCTCTCTCTAAAATAAATAAATCTTTTTAAAAATGGGGAGAAACCGCATATGTAGTGAAAATCAGTACTGGGAAACCCCCCAGAGATGGAGGGGGGGCTCCGGCAGGGGGCGCTCACGGCCTTCCCCTGGGCCCATCGCTGACCCGACACGAAGAGCCCGCAGGGCCCTCACCTGGACTGGACCATGCCTGAGGCTGCGACACCTGCAGGAGGGAGAGACACGTCCCTGGTCCCAGGGCCACAGTTCAATTCCCACTCCCTTCCTCCGTCGCACGCACTTTGGGCTCATAACAGCCCCTCCCGAGTCACCCCGTTTCTCCTCGTTCCCAGACTTGCTTAGGGTTTTGCCCAGCTTGATTGTCTGGGGTTGAAATTCTCTTACTCTTGAATAAGCCCATCTGTTCCTGGTGAAATAACTGGCAGTTTTCATTGTGAAGTTTAGCTATATACGTATGTACACATAGCCACACTTAAGTTTTATTTTTTTTTAAGATTTTTATTTATTTATTTGACAGAGAGAGACACAGCGAGAGAGGGGACACAAGCAGAGGGAGTGGGAGAGGGAGAAGCAGGCTCCCCGCTGAGCAGAGAGCCCGATGCGGGGCTGGATCCCAGGACCCTGAGATCACGACCTGAGCTGAAGGCAGATGCTTAACGATTGAGCCACCCAGGCGCCCCCTACACTTGAGTTTTGTGTATAATATAAACTTAATTTATAACTGCATGTATATATATATTATAAATTTAGAATTTGTCATTCTAACACCGCTGGGGGTTCCAGTGTATGTAGAGGGACTCGAACTACAACAGGAAGGGAGAGGGGACCTGCACGGCGCTGCGGGCTCTCCATCCCACACGAAGTGATGAGATGTCAATCCTAAGCAGGCTACGAAAAGTGTGTCTATAATCCCTAGAGCCACTAAATACTTTTCTTTAAAGATTTTATTTATTTGAGAGAATGAATGAGCAGGCAAGAGAGCACAAGAATGGGGGAGGGGTAGAGAGAGAAGCAGACTACCCGCCGAGTAAGGAGTCTGATGCAGGACTCGATCTTGGGACCCCGGGATCAGGACCTGAGCCAAAGGCCGACATTTCACTGACAGCCACGCAGGCGGCCGCATAAATGTGGTATCTACAAAGAAATGCAGTCAGGAAGAGAGCAGCAGGGCGGGAAAGAAGAAACAGAGAACAACTGCTCGCCTAACCCCAAACCATGCAATAGTTTCATTAAATGGGAAGGGTCTGGCCTTGGACACGGGCACTGTCTGCACAGCAGCTAACGGAAACGAGGCTGTTTCTACTCTCGGACTCTACTCCTCACACCACTGACCACCCTCACCGCACCGGGCAGCTCTCCACCGAGGAGAATCGGGGGTCCCACCATCTCTCTTGGCTCTAACACCGTGTCCCTGGTGACCGCTTCGACCCCACAGGGGAAGGGCTCAGTCCCCCAAAACTCCCCCTGCGTCAGACGCCAATGGCAAGCCCCAGCTGCTCTCCGTACCTCCGCCAGGTCAGCCGCCGATCGGGCTTCCCACAAGCCCCTCTCTGGGTTGATACTTTGCTCAACAACTCCCAGGACTCAGGACAACTCTTTCATTTACCGGTTTATCATACAATAACGAACATGGTAACAGGCCTGTTCAAACAGATGACGGTGCGCGCAGGGCGAGGTCTTGAAGGGTCCTGAGTGCGTGAGCGCCTGCTCCTCAACCTTGGGGAACGGGGTGCTCCAGCCTCTGGCACAGCACGTGTCCCCACCCCAGCAGCTCTCCGGACCCGCACTTCAGGGACTTCCGTGGCATGACTGACTATGGCCATCTCCAGCACCTCTCCCCTCCCTTGAGCTTGGGGCTGGGCTTCTAATCTTGGCCCCATCCTGAGCGCCTCACTGGAAAAAAGACACTCTTTTCACCTGAGACATTGCATGGGATTCAGGACTCTGGCCAGGAGGTGGATGGGAAGACCAAATATATTTTATAAATATTTTTTATTCTATTTAAATATTTTTCTAGAAATATTACATGCAGATATAAATATATAAATATAAATGTTATAAATAGATTTTTAAAAAGATTTTTATTTGTTTGAGAGAGAAAGAGAGAGAGCAGGAGTGGGGAGAAGGAGAAGCAGGCTTCACAGTGAGCAGGCGCCCGGCACGGGGCTGGGTTGCTGGACCCTGAGATCAGGACCTGAACTGAAATCAAGAGCCGGACGCCCAACCGGCTGAGCCAGCCAGGTGCCCTGTGCATCACAATATCACAGCAAACACGGTGAATTAAAGACACGTTATACTCTGGACTTTTAAAAATCACCCAATCCCATGCTGGCTTCAAGGAACTCGCCGTAAATATAAGGCACGTTGGTCAAAGTGAGCGGTATCAAAGACCCTGATACTATCACTCATCAAAGACATCAGAGACAGCTGCGGACAGGACCTGTTGTGTACAAACTTCAGCACCGACTCCAGTAGCAAATAAAATGGACTTTGTACACCACGACATTTATGCCGGGAGGTTAACTCTGAAATCCGGTTAATATACCATATCAGGAGAACGTTACGTTTTTTGATATAAATGACTCACGATCCTCTCAATGAATGGGATAAAAAAGTGTTTGACAAAATCCAACACCCCTTCCTGACAAAAACACTCAGAAAACTAGGAATAAAGCTTAACTTCCTCCACTGGATAAAGGGCACCTACAGAGGCCAGACCCCTAAGGTCTGGGGAAACGCCAAGCCCACGACTGGGTGCTGGACAAAGGGGCCCACGCCCGCCTGTGGCATCCCGGAGGCTCCGGCCAGGCCAGTGAGGCCACACAAGCAAGTAGCAGGGGACCTGAAATCGCTCCCAGTCACACACAGCAGGGCTGTTGGTGTGGACAGACGGAATGGCCAGAAAGCTACACTAATGGTGATTCTGTCTGGTGTTGGGGCCGACAGCGACGCACCAGGGTCGGCGGGTTTGCGAGTGCTCACAGTGACCAACTGGACACAGAGAGCATCTGCCACGGCAGCAAGGGGGGAGGACGTCAGGCGCAAACCCAACAGAGCGTGCCGGGGGCTCTGTTGAAAACCGTACAACCCGGACGGAAGGGTTGCAGTCAAGCAGACAAGAGCAGAGACGGCATGTGTTCGCGAGTCCTGAAGTAGTGCTTCATAGACAGACAAGCGGACTCTAAAATCGCTGCGGAGAGTCAGGAGAGGAGGAGGCCGAACAATGTGGGGAGAACAGAGTCAGGGGACTCTCGCCGGCTCCCCAGTTCCGGGCGATCGAGTCAGGATGGTACTTTCCAAGCGACGGGCACAGCGAGGGAGGAACAGAAGAGAACCCAGCAACGGCCCCGCACAAAAACGGCCAATGGACGTCTCAGGAAGGCTCGAAGGCAATCTGGGAGGGAAAAGATGGTCTTGTCACCAGACGGTGCCGGAGCCCTGGGCATCCACGTGCAGACACCAGATTCCCAACCTCAGCCTCAGACTTACAACAAAAGTAACTCAAAATGAGTCCTACACCTAGGTGTAAAGTGCACGTTCTACAAGAAAACAGAGAAAAACGTTTGTTTGTAACCTGGGGTCGGAGATGTGACCCAAAATCATGAGGACAGACACTGGCAGCCTGACGCAGAGGTAAGGCAGTCCTCGTAAAAGGTAAAACGTGGGCTTGGGAGGTGCCGGGCTGAGGAGTGAACACTCGCCCGCCCACAGAACGGCCACGCGCCCCCGGGACATGCGAGCGTGGCCAAGGACCCGGTGCCGGGCTCCGGGGACACCGAGCTGGCGCGTGTGCGATGCGGGCGCCCTGCAGGACAAGCCGGCGCGGTCTCAGAAAGTGGCACACCCTCACCCCATGAGCCCAGGAAACCCTGCATCTCACCGTGTGCCCGAGACAAAGGAAAACCTGCATGTCCAAGTCTGTGGTGGTTCTCGGTGTCTTGTTGTCACTGGAACCTGGACATGAGGTTCTCACCAGGCGGATGGCCCAACTCTGGGGGCTCCGCGGGTGGAAGGGGGAACAGTGGGCGCCCAGAGGACTCTCAGAGGCACCGTTGGAGGGGTCAGTCTCGGAAGTGCACAGGGAGTCCCCCTGCACTCACGGGACATCCCACAGGACACCCGCGGGGACAGGGAAGCACCGTGAGCACGTGACGGTGACGGGACAACGCGGGGGCGTCCCGATGCTGAGCAGGCTGCAGGAAGGCCGCCTCCCTTAGAGCAGTCTGGAAGCCACACCAGCTCGGGAGGGAGCCTGCCCTGCCCCCAGGCTTCACCAGAGCCCCCGATTTCCTCCATCGGACTCGCACAGAGCAGCCCCTCCCAACCTCCTCCTCCTGGCCCTGTCCTGACCGCGGCTCCTCTGCCGTTCCCAAGAAACCCATTTTGCTGGTACAACCACTGGCTGCTTTATTTCAAGGCTGGTCTGGTGGAGGTGGACGGGTCTACACGTTATAAGTCGTTAAACCGTACACCAAAAGGAGTCAAGGTTACTGCAAGTTACTTTAAAAAAATATTTTTTATTCCAGCAAGTGGTCTGGGGAGTCCTAACCTGACGGAGACCTGTGCGTCAGGACAGCGTTCCAAGGGGACAGTCCAACAGTGAGGGCGCGGGAGCGGGAGCAGGCCCGAGGGCCGAGCAGGGGACTCCGCACACTCAGTGCCCCTCTGTGATGGCCCCACGGGCGTGTGCGGCTGGGTCGGGGATGTGCAGAGGAGGGGCGCTGCGGAACGTGGGGAATGAGGGAGGACGCTGAGCAACCTGCTGTTAAGGGCCCGAGGACAGAGCTTGGAAGAGCAAAGGCAGAGCTGGGACGCCTGCTTGGGAGTGGGGTTCAGCACCCGAAAGTCTCCGCCCCGCCCCAGCTCCAGCTCTGCGTCCTGCCCTCTCCGGATGCTGGTGGACTCTCGGGGCGGGGGCGCTCCAGGCCCTCATCCCCCCGCTCAGAGCCCTGGGAGACCGCCCTCCACCACCTCTGGCTCTGCAACCGCCCCACCAGGGAGATAGCGCCAGTCACGTTCTCACTGGCCCAGTGGCACCCTGCCATGGTGGCCCCTGCCCCCAACCATCATCCCATAGCCGATGGGGGCCAGGTGCCCCGCGCGCCCCCGTCACAGCAGCACGCTTAGAACACAGAGCTTGGTTTGGACCATGTGCTCATTTCATTAGATCCTGGACTGTAAGCTGGGGAGGGGGGGAGAAGCGCGCTGCACGGTGGGGCTCCAGTCAGGGGTCGGCAGGGGCGAGGGCCTGGGGCAGCAGTGCAGCTTCTCCCGGAGCCCACAGGGCCTGGCTCGCCGGCACGGAGTGGGCCGGGCAGGCAGGTTCAGGCGTTTCTCTGCTCTGGGGGAAGGTACTCGAGGCCCAGGTGCCTGAATAGGTCTTCCTCGGAGGCCACACGGAGCAGCATCTTCTGCAGCAAGAGTGCGGGTGTCGCGGCCTGGGAGCGGCCCCACCCCCCAGGGCCACCGCGGGCTTCCTCAGGAAGGGTGTGGGGAGGGCGTGGGGAAGGGCAGCCCAAGGCCAGCAGGTTCCTCCCCCAGGCGTCCCCCCAGCGACACACCTGCTCGGGGTCAAAGAGCCCGTGGCTGTTCAGGCACAGCCCTCTCTCCTTCCGGCTGAAGAGGCGCAGCTCCCGCTCGAAGTGCTGGGGAGAGCGGGGCTGTGGCCGGGCCGCGACCCCTGCAGCCCCCAGCCCGGCCCCCACGGCACACGCCTACCTTAGAGCCCGTCCAGCCAAGCAGGGCGAAGGGGAGCTGGCTGACAGGGACCACCACCAGGTCCACGCGCACGGCCCGCCTGTGGGCGCCCCCCACCGCGGCCCCTGGGGGCTGTGGCAGGCAGAAAATGCAGAAACTCCTCTCGAAGGCGTCCATGGTGTGGCTGTGCCGGGTCCGGCGCCTGGCGTCTTCGGGGTGGCCTCGGTGGTGCTGCTGGTACAGGACAAGGCCCTGCAGGCAGAGCAGGTGTGGCCGCAGCCGTGGGGCAGGGCCGGGGCAGAAACCCGGGTCCCACAGTCCTCCCAGCCCAGGCAGCCCGAGCCCCTCACCTGCCTCTCCAGGCGGCGCATCACGTGGGGCAGGAGCCCCGCCTCCAGGCCCTCCCGGGGATGGCTGAGCAGCAAGTCCACGTCGTGGCCGTGCAGCTTACCCCTGCGGGGGCACCATCAACCCGTCTGACTCGGGCCACGCAGGGGTGGCAGCCATGCACTCCCCGGTCCCGGGGGCAAGGCCCGCTCCGTGCCTTCCCCGGGGGCCGTCAGACCCCCTCACCTCTGGAAGCCGCCCACCAGCGTCACGGTGGCCCCGGGCAGAATGTCCACAGCGGCAGCCTCCACCTCCTGCTGCAGGGCCTCGGCTTCTGGCCGCTGCACCGGGATGCTCAGCTCGTGGTAGTGCTGGAGTCCTGCAGAAGCACGGGCCCCTGACCGTCCCCGCCCCACCGGCTGCACTCTCCACCAGACCCTCCTCGCTTCGAGGCAGAGGAAACCGTAGATCCGCGGGCAGCTGCATGAAAGGGCAGAAGCCCCCACGTGCCGCACCCACTCCCCACCATGGCAATGACTGTCCGTCCCATCGGGGTGCTGGTGTGGATGCCCTCACGATGCAGACCCTACCCCTTGAGGCCTCAGCTTTCCTCTCCATAAAATGGGCCAGAGGTGATAAGGACATGAAAGAGGTAGAACCCCTTCACTGGAGCCCTGGCCCATCTCAGCACCCGCAGGGGCACCGCTACCTCCTGCACGGTCAGGAGAGGTTTCAGGGGGCAGCAACGGCACCTGGGGGCACAGGCTCTCAGTAGGTGGTTCCTGACCACATCATGGGGGGACGAGCGGCCAAGTGGCACCAGTAGTGACAGCTCCTCTGTCACAGACATGTGATTCCCTGGGTCTCATGGCATGGGGTCCCCTATACAACCCCCCTCCCCCAGCCCAGGGGAAATATTCCAAGATGCGGGGGGTGCCAGGCTGCGGATCGACTTCGGCCAGGGCCCCCAACCCCAGCCACGCGGGGAGGACAGAGCATCTAAGCCCTGCAACCCACTGGCCTCACACAGAGCTGCTCACGGAACCACACGCTTCATAGAGAATGTAACGGAGGCTCAGAGAAGTCAAGTCCCAGGGCCATGGTCACCCAGCTAGGGGCCGAGGCAGGATCCAGCCCAGGCCTGACCCACTCTCAAGCTCACACTCATTCCACGGCAATGGGGCCCCCTGCCATCACAGGCCCTGACCTGAGCCACTCCTGCCACACAGGTCCCCGTGCCATCTGCCAGCGTGCCAGGACACCAGCCCCATGCCGGCAAGCTGTGCACAGAGCACTGACCACTGAGACCCAGCCTCCCCTTCCTGGTCTAGCCGGGAGGTGCAGACATCACAGCAGTCACTGTCACCATCACTGTTTGCTGTGGATGGGCTGCAACGGATCCAGACTCCACCCCGCCAAACAGAGAGGCCTGCCTGCCCCGGGACCTCCATGCACTGACCCCACACCCCACCATCCAGGAAGCCCCCCGGCATGCGCTGTGGGCCGGCGCTGAGGGCTCCAGGTGTGGGCAGCCCGGGGTCCTGCCCTTCTCAGAGGCTCACCTGCTCTCTGCTGCTGGGTCAGCCTTTGGAGCTGTTCGTGGAGGCTGTCCAGGGTCCGCAGTCCGTCCCGGTACCAGCGGTCAGCAGTCTTTACCCCAACCCCGAAGATCCCGGTGAAAAGCTGTTTGGGAGATGAGCACAGTGTGGTCAGGAGCAAAGTCCTGACAGAAGACACAGACGGCCACGACCGTTGGCAAGGGCAGCAGTGCCTTGGGCCGCCCCGTGGCCACTCCCGGCTGTCTGGTTCCAGCAGCCTGCCCGAGGCCACATGGTACACGCACAGGCAGGATTCAAACCCCTAGGCTGGCCTGCACAGGGGACAGCCCGGACAGACCCCGCTGCACCTCCCTCCAAGGGCCCCTGCTCTGGCAACCTCTCTCCCCAGGGCCCATGCAGGTCCAGCACCACACACCAGTCATGGCCACAGCCTCCTGTCCACTGGGAACCACACCAAGCAGGAGTCACTGCCTGGCCACAAGGAAGTATAGCATGGGGGCCAACCTCTCGCTGGGGGCAGCTGACGCCACGTGGGCTTCCCACACGGGTAGGGGCCTGGACCCCAGCCCTAGCAAGTCACTCTTTCCTTCCTAACCACAGCTCACTGGTTGGAGATAGGCACCTGCTCTAGCTAATCCCCTCCCTGGCAATTTTTGGAAATGAAACAGAAGGTCAGGCCTGTGCCATGGTAGCGGCTGTAACCCACGGAACAGGAAGTTTCCGTGGCCGGGTCTCAGCTGGCAAGTGGGCCAGTGCATGGAAAGGAGGAGGACTCTGGTGGCCCTTGGGTCCCCGAGCCCTGCTTCCTCTGGCTACAGCCCTGCCCCTCTCGGGCTATGCTGGCCGTCCTTCCTTCCCTCGATCCCCTGAACCAAGAGCCCGAGTGCCGACAGAAAAAATGCTCAGAACCACCCAACCATGTTGCTTAAACAATGAACTTCTGGTTGTTGACCCACCTCTCTGCTGGCCTGGGCGCTCACCCGGGACCCTCCATCCTTCACACGTGGCTCCTCTCCCTCTCTGAAGCCCCCCGTCGGCCCCTAGCACATTTGCGGCCACCCCCAGAGCACCAACGGCCCACCCTGCCAGGGAAGCCCCCCGCCCCAGCTGGTCGCTGACGGGACAGGTGTCAGAGCAGCGAGACGGAGGGGGCCACAAGAGCTCGGGCACATCCCGTCGGAGGCGGGAGGAACAGGGGCAGGTGTGCTATGGACACAGGCAGGGCGACAGGCAGGGTGACAGGCGAGAGCACAAGGAGGGAGACCGTGTGAGGAGGGGCAGCCCGTAGACTCGGCTCCGGGAGGAAGTTAGTTTCGTCTAGCACGCTCCATTCGAGATGCCGGTGGACACGGCACACTGGGCGCTGTCCCACGGACGGTCCGACAAGCACGGGCGCTGCTGAGTGATGAACGCGCTGCCCGGTGCTCAGCATGAGCTTGCCCTCACCCCGCTCGGCCTGGCCGCCTCATGCACATCAGGTGTCAGCCAGCTGCCGCCGCCTCCGTGACACCTCACCCTGGGCGCCCTGCTCGCCCCCTGTCCACGGATGGAGCCGTGCTGTGCTCCCAGGGAGGGCTCCAAGCCCCTGCTGGGATCTGCCCTGCACGTACCTTCATGGTCTGGTACCGCTCGGACCGCCGGACCCTCTCCACCTCCTCACACACCCCATGTTCCAGCAGCTCCTGGGGGACCAAGCAAAAGGCTCAGCCCGACTGGAGACAAGGGCAGGGCACAAGGACCAGGCGGAACCCAACACTCAACAAGGCAGCTTCATCCGATCAGGACCCACTTGGAAACACAGACCATGCCTGGGGAGGCGTCAGTGCTCCTGGCCTCATGGCTCTCGGCCCAGGGAACACGGGCCACCTCTCAGATGAATGACAGGTCCCAAGATACGTGAACCATGGCTTTTCCAAACACAGGGGACATATTCAACAGGATTCTGCGTAAAAGCTTAACTGAGTTCAAAAGTGCGTCTGGTCCCCACATGTTCTCCCAGGGGCAAGTGTACCCCTTAGATGGCCCACTTCACAGGACACGCAAAGGACCTAACATTTTGGGTTCTCACATACTCTGTATGGTAAAAGGAGGCGCTTCAAGTCAGGGGCTCCCCTCCACCATCCCAGACAGTGGGCCGCCACCGGTGATGCCAGCTCCCAGCCCTGCCCGTCCCTCCCAGCCCCACGGTGTGGCCCCATTTACAGACGAGGAACGTGAGCAGAGGGCGGCTTGCCTGGGACCAGAAGCTGGCCTGCATGGCTGCCCTGAGCCCCCGACCCCCGCGCTCACAGTGTCCGGACCACCTCACCCACCTGCCCGCACCCCCAACTCCACCAGGCTGCGTGCACGGAGCACCCACCTGGACGACCCTGCATGAGTGTTCTCCAAAGTGGGGCAGCCCCTGCAGCTGGCTCGGGGCCGTGACCTGGCTCGGAAGGGCCTTGAGCACCGCGGCTGCTCTGCGGAAGGAGAGGAAGCGGCCTTCGCTGCCCTCAAAGCCTGCGGCCTCTGCAAGCACCTCCAGAGCCTCCTGCCGGGAGAGGCCCTTGGTGAGGGGGGAGGGGGCCCAGCTCCCCACCCTCCAGCTCCCGTCCACCTGTCCCCAAGCTGGGACAGGACACAGTAGCAGGGCTCCCGGGAGCAGGCCTGGCCCCACCCCAGGGAGGCTGGGAACCCAGGGCTCACCGAGAGGCTGGTGTTGGGGTGTGTGAGCGGCGTGGGGCGCTGGCAGGCGTAGGGAGGCACCCTCACGGGGCCGGGTGGCCCTTTCGCGGGCACAGCCGCCTGCGGATGGGCAATACAGAGGCCATGCAGAGACTGAGGGCTCCCAGGGCCAGGCCGCCCCTGGAGCTCCACCCCGACAAGGACAGGAGGGGCAGAGTAGGCCGAGGAGGGGCTCCTCGCCCACCGCAGCAGCAGGCATGGCCCCTGCAGGCTCTCAGGGGCTACGCTTCCTGTCACTGAATCTAGTGAGTGCTCCACCCCCTGAAGCCCTCTCAGTCAAGTGGGCTAGCAGTGCTCGTCGTCCCCCTCGCAGACAGGGACTGCAGCTCGTGGCCGGGAGGCAGAGCCCGGGTCTGAACTTGGGACGCCCGACTCTGAGCCCACACACACCTGCATCCCCCAGGAAGCACTGCACAGGGCAGCAGCCACGGACCCACCTGGGGGTCCTCGGGTCATCTGACTGGGACTGACCATCTCAATACTTGAGCAAGAAAGGCCTGAAAAAGCTCGAAATGACTAGACCCCAAGAGCTCACGGCAATGATGAGAGCCTGAGCTGGGAAGGCCTGGCCTCCCAGGGCCCCTGGTGGTCTGCACTGAGCCCCACTGTCCCCCTCATCTGTCGGCCCGAGGTGCTGCTGACAGGTCACCTGTCCCCTCTGAGCCATAGCCTGCACCGGCATTCCTCGCCCGCCCCATGCTAGGCCACCCAGCTCACCTCCAGACGGTGCCGACGCTCCACGGGCACAGGCCGCCCAGCCGCCATGCTTTCCGTGAACCAGCTGATGTCCAGCAGCTCCGGGCTGGTGCACTCTGGAGGAGAGGCCGCCGCCGCCCTGCGCTCCTGCCAGCACCTGGCCTCCTCTGCGGAGGTCTGTTCCATTACCACATGCGTCACCTCGGAGCTGGGCATTGAGAGGGGACAGAGCTGATGCCCAGAGGTCCTTCCTGCCTCGCTCCGCCTTGGCTCACAGTCCCCTCCACCTGGTGAGCACCCGTTCCCGCTTCCAGCAACCTCCTCAGAAAGCCCCTTCTCGCCGATGAACGTGTCTGCCACCCCACCACCCACAGAGCTGCGGCCCAGCCCAAGTTTCTGTCCACTCATCTGTCCTCTCCCTGGGCTCCTGAGAACGGAGGCCAGGCCCTGAGCCTCTCCATCTGCTGAACCCAGGCTCCTTGGGTCTGAACCCCAGCTCTGCCACACACGCTGCATCTCACTTCTCTGTGCCCTGATTTCCTCCTCTTTAAAGCCGTTAACGTGACTACCACGTAGGGTTATTACAAAGATTAAGCAAACTCATAAGCCAAAGGGCTTAGAGGCTTAGCACCCCGCACACTAAACTCCCAGCCGGTCTCTGGGAAAGGTTAAATCACTTCAAAACAAACCAGAAGGAAAGCTGCTGGGGGACTGGCCCCTGGTTTGCTTGCTCTGTCAACTTCAAACCTAGGGAACCCATTTCCTTAATCGCAGCAGTGTCTCCGCACCCAGCCCAGGATTTTTGCCAATCTGGGAGCCTCGCGTGGCTGTCTCTGCCGGAGGGGCGAGGTCGGTCTGGCTAACAGGGCCAGACGCACTCGCCCTGGGCAGAAGGCGGTGAGCCGGTGATACCCTCAACCATCCCAAACGGCCCTCTGGCTCCTTCCAGAGCCCCGGGCACACACCCTCTGCTTGTCCCACAGAGTACTCCTGGCCCTAACCGCGAGCACCCGCTGCGGAAGAGGATATTCGGGGAAAGCCAGGAGAGCACCAAGAGGCGCGGTCAGCTGGAATCCGAAACCGCGGGCCCCTCCACTGCCAGGTGAGTCGGTTTAGACCTTAACGTCCTCCGCTGAAAAGAAACGCGGCGCGCGAAAGTGGCTGGTCCCGGGCGAAGTCTGAGCACCGCCATGAGGGCTCCTACCACGCAGCAGCGTCCGCGGGCCGTGCGGGCCGGACCATACGCGCACAGGAGTCCCTCGGTGCCCTGAGGGCGCAGCACCCGCCCCGCGCCCCTGGTGCAGGCGCCCCCCCACCACGAAGGCGCCGCGGGCAGGCGCCCCCCCACCACGAAGGCGCCGCGGGCAGGCGCCCCCCCACCACGAAGGCGCCGCGGGCAGGCGCCCCAGGGCTGCCCCGGGCCGCAGGCTTCTCCGCTACGGCGCACCTGTAGGCGTCCAGGACCCGGAAGCCCTTAGAGAGCGCCAGGCGCGTGAGGAAGGCGCGGCGGCTGCGGCCCATGCGCGGCTCGGCCAGGTGGATGGCTACGCCGGGGAAGCGCGGCGGGCAGGGGCAGGCGGGGCCGGGGCGGGCCGGGCCGCCGGGGGAGCCGGTCCGCGCTCGCCGCCGCCGCGGTAGCATCCTGGCTCCGCGCGGGCCGCCGCCGGGAAGAGGCGCGCGGAGGTCGGAAGAAAGGTGCCCGAGGCGGGCTGGCGGGGGACGTGGCACGCGGCGGAGCGAGCGAGCAGGCCGCGCCCCGCACACTCCGGGGGCTCGGGGTGCCTCCTGCCCCACAGACGAGCGTTGGCGCCCGCTGCCCGGTCTCCATGCAAATAGCACCATAGGCCCCGCCTTTTATGCAAATAACCGCCGAGCGACCCGGAGAGTGCGGGCGCGGGGGGCGGGCCCGGGCGGAGAGGGGCGGGGCGGGTCGGAGGTGTGGCCAGCGAGCCCTTTGGCGAGCGCGGGGGCGGGGCCGCGGAGCGCGGGGCTGGAGCGGGGCAGAGGAGCGCGGGGCGGGGCGGGGACGGGGGCGGGGCCGCGGAGCGGGGGGTGAAGTGGGGTGACGGGGGCCGCAGAGCGCTGGGGCGGAGCGGGGCGAGGGGACGCGCTGTGGGTTGGGGCCCGGCGGGAGAGGCCGGCGGGGAGCGGCGGGGGCGGGATGCGCGGCGGGGGCGGGTAGGGGTAGGGTTAGGGTTAGGGCTCTGGGAGCACGAGAGCATGGGGGTGGGGAGAGCGGGGCGTTGGGGGGCGTACAGGGTGGGGTGGAGAGCGCGGCGGGGGCTGGATGCGCGGGGCGGGGCGCTGCGGGGCGCGAGGTCGGAACGTGCGGGTCGAGGGGTTTCGGACCCCAGTAAGGTGTTTCCGCCCCCGGCCTTGGTACCCTTGGCCGGCCGTTTGGAAAAATAGAAGTTGGCTTCCTCCGTCACTCCTCAACACCAAAATGAAATCCAGATGCATGAAACGTCCAAATCTAAAAAGCAAATAAAAAAGGTCCTGGAAAGTCGACTATCACAATAAACCTGGAGAAGGGGGAGAAAAGAATAGTAAACTTGACCGTACTGAAATTGAGAATGCGATAAGAATTAATTAAAAGGCCGGCAGGGGGGAAAGTGTGTGTTGTGTATTTGGGAGTTGTCTAATTCCTGTAATTGCGAAACTGTCCACAGATAAATAAGAAAAAGACGATGATCTAATGGAAAAATTGGCAAGAGCACGGTAGGAATTTCGCAGAAGAACCCTACTCGAAACTCGAACCAGATTGTCTGACGGGTGCACCTGTCGGCGTGGGGGAGCTGGCAATTTGTAAGAAGGACTTCTGGAAGCTGACTTGGTAACCGTATCTAACACAATGAAAACAAAAATCACACCAGCCAAACCTTTTCCGACACCGGGACTGTTTTGATTGTGTAGATCAGTTTGGAAAAGCAGACATCCTGACAGTATGGAGTGTCCCTCTCATCTCCAGGCACTACATGTTGGATTCCTTCTGCCGCAGCTGGTTTGGCCCATGCTCAGATGAACAGGTGTGACAGGCCACAGGCAACACTGTTCCCACCCCTGTCCTTCCTCTTCTCTCCCTGGAGGCCTCCTGTCCCAGCTGGTGGGCACAGGGCTGAGGGAGGAAGGTGCCTCAGGCAGGCATCTTCCCTCTCCAACACCGGCCTGCCCTCCTGGCACACAAGACACACGCTCCCCAGCCAGGTGGCCTGGGTGTCAGCTCCTTTCTCCTTTTCCTTTTCCTGTGCCTGTTTCTCTGGCCAGTGGGGAAGGAGGCGCTCCCAGGGCCTATAGGAGGGATCAGAGCCTTGTTTCCCACCTGTGGGTCCTGCCTCTCCTCAGGGGGCAGCCATTTCTCCCCTAAAACCATTTGCTTCCCTCGTAATGTCCTCTGTCTCTGGCCAGGGCACCTGGGTGTCTTCCTGGGGGCAGAGGCAAATTCTAGCGACCCATCACATTTACACATTTACATTTACAAACGCTGGGCACCTTGCAAAACTGAGGAACATGAGGCTTTCTGCAGGCCCAGGCAGGTTCTGTGGGGGGGAAGGAGCCCGTGCCGCTGAGTGGAGGCCTGGGCCCCGTGAGTAAAGCCACAGCACTGCTGGGTGGGGTGCTCTGTCTGCCCACCCCTCCCCAGACCATTAGGTTGCCCTCTGGCCCACTGAGAAGTAGAAGCCTGAGCCCTCTACTCCCACTAAGCCTGCCTTGGGGTTCCCAGACGCCTAATTCCCCAGCCTCAGGGCGTCTCCCCATGCTGAGACCACCCCTCAAAGAGAGAGGGTACACCAATGGCCCTTGCCTGGGCCCTCCCGGCCGCCCTGCGGGCTGCAGTCCTCCTGCCTGTGGTATGGATTAGTTTTGCCCAGATATGTGAGTTTGCATTTTTCCAAGATGAATCCTGTTTCCTGTTTCCATTTCCAGCTCAGAGAGGTCCCTGGGGGTGACCTTCACAAATCCTCCCTGTGGACCAGCTTCTCAAAAATTCACTTTGGTGCACTTTGCACCTGCCCTTGGCCTGTGGGACCAGGCCTCTACCCTGCCTGCTCTGGGGCCCACCCCGGCTTTGGGTTCCTGTCTTTTCAGGCTGCTTGCTGGCAGTGTTCCGGAGGGCACGCGGTCCGATGCTGATGTTGCTGGCCCTGGGCCTTCCTGAGCTTCCCTCCACACTCCGTGGGTGTGGGGTACCCTCTGCCTCAGTCAGCTCGGGCCCTCATGAAACACCGCAGCGGAAGCTTGAATGACAGACACTTCTCATGGCCGGGAGGCGGGAGTGGGGAGGCCAGCATCAAGCTGCAGGCAGGGAGACTTCGTTCTGAGGCTTCCTCTCCAGGCTCACAGGGCCTGATGGTCATCTGTAGAGAGCGCGACAGTGAGAGGAGATCTCTGCCTTGCCATCTGCTGCTAATCCCATGGAATCGAGACTCTACCCTTATGACCCCATTTAACCATATGACTTCCCAAAAGCCCTGTCTTCAAATACAGTCTCACCGGGGGTTAGGGCTGCAGTGTAGGAATTTGAGGGATGTGGGGGAGACACAGTTTACCCGTAGCACCTGGCGTTTTCAGGTCCTCAACAAATCGAGTCGCTTCACACGACAGGAATTCATTCTCTCCCAATTCTGGAGGCCGGAGTTCTAAGATCTAGGGGTGAGCAGGGCCATGCTTCCTCTGGAGGCTCCAGGGAGGACCCTTCCTGCCTCTTCCAGCTTCCAGGGGCTCCTGGTGGGCCTAGGCTGGTGGCTGCCTCACCCCCTCCCTTCCTCTTTTCTTAGGAAGGTTCCAGTCATTGGGTTTAAGGACCACCCTAATCCAGGATGACTTCATCTTGAAATTTCTTATCTTTCTTTTTTTTTTTTATTTTTTAAGATTTTACTTATTTGAGAGAGAGAAGGAGAGAGGGAGTGAGAGAGCACAAGCAGGGGAGCAGCAGGGGCAGAGGGAGAAGCAGACTCCCCACCGATCAGGGAGCTGGAGGCAGGGCTGGAACCCAGGACCCTGAGATCACGACCTGAGCCGAAGGCAGACATTTCACCAACTGAGCCACCCAGGCACTCCTTGAAATTTCCTATCTTAATGACATCTGCAAAGACACTTATTCCAAATAAGGTCACATCCTGAGGCTCCAGGTGGACGTGAATGGGAGGGGAGGCACCATTCACCCTTCCCCCCTGAGTGTGCTCTGACCTGGGCTCAGCTCTGGACTCTGCTGGTGGGCTCCATGGCCAACCATCCCTGATCTGCAAAGATGTATCAGGGCCCCAGGATTTCATTTCTGACAGGAATGGATGTGCTAGTCTTAGGGGCTGCGGCTCGCCAAGGGCGTGGGAGGTTGTATAACACAGACACGCTTTACTGCCTTTGGAGAGAAGGTGGGCTGCTGATTGGATGGTGTCTTGGCCCGTTTGGGTAGCTATAATGAACACCAGTACTGGTGGCTTATAAACCACAGAGATTTACTTCTCACCGTTCAGGAGGCCGGGACTGCAGGTTCTGTGCCGGGGAGAGCTGCACACGTCCCGCTGTGTCCCCAACAGGGTAGAAGGGGTGAGACACGGCACCTCTTTCACAAGGGCCCTGATCCCATCCGGGAGGCCTCCACCCTCGTGACCTAACTGTGTCTCAAGGCCCACTTCCTAAACCCAGCACCCTGGGTGTTCATACAAACACATACAAATCTGGATCAGCAAGAGGCTGGGGGTCAGGAACCAGGGGGGTGAGTCAGGGCCAGAGGGTGGAGGACAGCCCCCGACTCCCCTCGCCACGGGAATCTGGCCTGAGAACAATGGGTAGAGGCGTGTCATTCACCGGAATTCTCTGGGCTCGTTTGGCCAACCAGCCTGGCTCTGTAGTTGCCCATAGTAAGGAGCCAAGGGGTCCCAGGGCCTCTGAGAAGAGAGACATTTGTGACTCGAACTCCATCCCAACTTGACAAAATTGTCTACTCTTCCCACCACAGTTTATTCTGCTTGTAGCACAGCAGCCTATAACCTCACCACGTTCTGGAGTGAACGTGGCTGCAGGTCTGTACGGGGGGAGACCCCCCAGAGATGGAGGGGGGGCTCCGGCAGGGGGCGCTCACGGCCTTCCCCTGGGCCCATCGCTGACCCGACACGAAGAGCCCGCAGGGCCCTCACCTGGACTGGACCATGCCTGAGGCTGCGACACCTGCAGGAGGGAGAGACACGTCCCTGGTCCCAGGGCCACAGTTCAATTCCCACTCCCTTCCTCCGTCGCACGCACTTTGGGCTCATAACACCCCTCCCGAGTCACCCCGTTTCTCCTCATTCCCAGACTTGCTTAGGGTTTTGCCCAGCTTGATTGTCTGGGGTTGAAATTCTCTTACTCTTGAATAAGCCCATCTGTTCCTGGTGAAATAACTGGCAGTTTTCATTGTGAAGGTTAACAAAACCAATGTACTTTATTTAGGTATTTTCCCACTTACTACTGTTACCATTGAAATAAAACAGCTATGATGATGGGGAGTCCCAGTGTAGTGGCTTCAGGGACAACCCTGGGCTGGCAAGTCTGGGTTGCGCTGGACGGCAGCCCAGAGGGTGGAGGGTCTTGAGAAGTCAGACAGGGAGGCAGCATGTTGCCCCAAGTCGTGGGGCAGGTCAAGGTCAGAGACCGTCCTTCCCCAGAGGAAGACAGGTGGTCGGGCTGCTGCTCCCGGGGGCGTCCAGGTCAGGACCCCGTGCGGTTGGAAGGCGATGGAATCTGGGTGCCGAGGCGGGCCCGGG